AGGCTACTTAATATCCACCCCCTTACATAGTTAAACTTTTTTTTCTTGTGATGAGAACTTCGAAGATTTACCTACTTTCTTAGCAACTTTTAAATATGCAATACTACTAGAGGCTCAGTGCATGAAATTCGTGCATGGGTAGGGTCCCTATGGGCTGCCGGCTGGGGCCTGCCTTTGTTCTGTGCCTCTCCTTGGTGGTCAGCGCATGTCATAGTGAGCGATCAAACTCCCGGTTGGTCAAACTTTGTGGCTGAGCAGAGCTCCCCCTGTGGGAGCGCACTGACCACCAGGGGGCAGCTCCTGCATTGAGCATCTGCCCCTGGTGGTCAGTGTGTGTCATAGTGACCAGTCATTCTCAGTCTTTCTGCTGTTAGGGTCAGTTTGCATATTACCTTTCTATTATATAGGATAGAGGCCTGGTGCTTGGATCGGGGCTGGATGGTTTGCCCTGAAGGGTGTCCTGGATCAGGGTGGGGGTCCTGCTGGGGTTCCTGGCCAGCCTGAGTGAGGGGCTCAGGGCCATTTTCACGCTGCCCAAACCCCTTCAGGGTGGGGGTACACATTGGGGTGCCTGGCCAGCCTGGGTGAGGGTCTGATGGCTCTTTTCAGACTGACCAAGCCCCCAGCAACTGAAGTTCCTAGCCTTTCCTTTTTTTTTTTTATTTGCTCCAGCTCCATGGCCATGGCAACTGGAAGCAGGTATCTGGGGTTTATTTACCTTCTATAATTGAAACTTTGTTGCCTTGAGAAGAGGCAGCAGTGGGGGCCGGGAAGTTTGGCTTCCTCCATCAATGGAGCAAGCAAGCCTCCTGCTCGCTCCAGCTCTGTGGCTGCTGGCCGCCATCTTGGTTGGGTTAATTTGTATATAGTTGCTCTGATTGGCTGACGGGTGTGGCTTAAGGCATAGTGAAAGTACGGTCAATTTGCATGTTTGTCTTTTATTAGTGTAGATATAGTCACTATGCTGTATATTACAGTCTCATGACTTATAACTGGGAGTTTGTACAAAATTACTCCCTTCATGAATACACATATTCATCTCCATTCCCAAACCACCTTTGGTTCTTCACATCCATAAGCTTCGTGTTTGGGTTTTGTTTTTTGTATTTCAAGACTTCTCATATAAGTGAGATCATATGGTATTTGTCTTTCTCTGTCTGAATTAATTCCTGTACTATGATACCCTTGATGTCTTTCCATGATGTTACAAATGGCAAGATTTCATTGTATACATATATACACCATAGTTTCTTTATTCACTCATCTATCAGTGGACCCTTAGTCTGTTTCCATATTGTCATAATTGTAAATAATGCTGCAGAGAACATGGAGAAGATTTCTATCTGAACTTCTGTTTTCACTTTCGTTTTTATTGTTTAAAGTATTACAAATAGTACATATGTCTCTTTTTCCCCCATTGACCTCCTCCTGGCCTCCCCTACCCCCTGGCACATACCCTCACTCCCCTGCCCCCAGTGTCTGTGTCCATTGGTTATGCTTATATGCATGCCTTCAAGGCATGCATACAAGTCCTTCAGTTGGTTTTTTACCACCAACTCCCACCCCCAATCCTCCCCCGCCTTCCTGCTAAAGTTTGACAGTCTGTTTGATGCTTCATCTCTGTGTCTATTTTTGTTCACCAGTTTATGATCTTTATATTCCACAAATGAGTGAGATCATGTGATATTTATCTTGCCCTGACTGGCTTATTTCACTTAGCATAATGATCTCCAGTTCCATCCATGCTGTTGCAAATGGTAAGAATTCCTTCTTTTTTTTATAGTGGCATAGTATTCCATTGTGTAGATGTACCACAGTTTTATAATCCACTCATCTGCTGATGGGCACTTAGGTTGTTTCCAAATCTCACCTATTGTAACCTGTGCTGCTATGAACATAGGGGTGCATACATCCTTTCTGACTGGTATTTCTGTTTTCTTGGGATATATTCCTAGAAGTGGTATTACTGGTCAAATGGCAGTTCCATTTTTAATTTTTTGAGGAAACACCATACTGTTTTCCACAGTGGCTGCTTATTTTAATAAATACCTAGAAGTGAAATTGCTGGATCATATTTTAATTTTAAAGGAAACTCCATCTATTGCCATAGTTGCTGTACCAATTTACAACCACATCAACAGTGGTGAAAGGTTTCCTTTCCTCTACTAGATCTATCCACTTTTCCTGTAAAGTTGTAAAGGAAAAATAATATTTTTTTTCAGGAGGATTTTTTAGGTGCTAAGTGAAGATTTTCTTTAGAGTTTTTATAAGGGGAGATGGAATACTACTTTTTAAAAAAGGCTTTTCCTTAGTCTAGTCAGTGTTGTTTTAAGACTTGATATGACATATGTGATAGCTGACAAGAGTGTACTTCTAGGATTATTGACACGTAAAGTTACCCATCCCTGTAGTGGGAGGGTCAGTGAAATAGGCCATGGCTTTCTTGTGTTGGAATTCCCTGTCCTAAAGGATTTTTGTAACTCCGAAAGATCCAGTCACCTCTTGTTGAAGGGAATGAGATCCCCCCCGCCAATATTTCCATGAGCATTGCTGAGACTCAACATGTTACTGAATGAAAACATCTGCCTGTTTTACAATGAGCCTTTATGCTGACAAAGATATGGCATTGCTCCAGCCCTACAGAACCTGAGTGGGCAGCAGCTGGAAACCTACTAGACAGCAGTGTTCCTTTCAAGTTGTTAAGCATTGAGATTACACTTTTAATTAAGTAGATAAATCACAAATTTACTAAAACCATGTCTCATATGCATAAAGAAAATTATAGCTTTTCATTTTTTATTATGTAATCTTCCTCACAATGTCTCAATATTTGGGATATTTGAGAAAATAACACAAACAGGTTTACATTGACCAATTAATGGTACCTCAGTCTCTTGCCCTTTATACAGTCCGATGTCCTCCCATCACCTTCCTCTATCTAGTACTCCCTGAGAGGGCATCTGGTATGAGGAGATATGGGCCATTTTAAAGGTAATGGGAGAAGTTTCTTAAATCCACGCACTAATCTTTGGTCCCTGTTGTGTCAGACTTAAGTGGCTGGTCTCATCTGACCTTTGGGAACATTTTACTAGGACTCTCTGCTGAAGCCCACAGCCACCCATGTACTTCTAGTCAGTAAATCCTTGGACACTGCCACCTCTTTGCTCTGGCCTCAGTCTTCTACTGGCTAACCTGCCCATTCATTCAAAAACTCTATGTATTCTCCCCAAAGAAAGGGAGACAGTTTAGGTCAGCTTCACACTCTATCCAGAAAGTGGCGGAAAAGACTTTTTTTCTCAAGTTTATCTCTCTGGTCACCTCCCTCTGGTAATGCTGAGGCATATATCTTGTGCACCATAGGAAGTGGTTTCTAGATAAATGCCAAGCTTCTTTTAGAAGCCTAACCCTTTCCCCTTGGTATACCTAGGGGATTAGCTCAAGTAATATGCTTGCTTCTATAAACCTCACTTCAAGGTTTTGCTTTAAGGCAGATAGATGGCACAGGAGCATAGAAAACACCATGGCAACTAAATTCTTCAATTTTCTTTTTATCACATTACTTCTTCGTATTCCAGGGTCATGAATTAGGCATCTTGTTCTTTGCAGGAACTTCCTCCATGATCTATCCCTTTTATTTTCAGTGACACAGAGTTTCTTAGCTTTACCTTAATGTCTTATAGGAACAAAAAGAAAATATTGACAGACAAATAAGGGGATACCTGTAGGGAAGGACATATTTTTAAAATAGTATTATTATTATATTTTTTATGTAGAGATTTCACTTGTGTTATTGGAGAACATTTATTGTCATCTAGTATCCCTCAACTTCTAAGAAGGCGGAAACCAAACCTTTTACAGTTTTCTCTAACTCAGTTCCAAATCTCTCTCAAGATGTGCCTGGGGTAAGCCTGGATACTAAGTGAAATAATCATCTCTTACCACTAGGCGGCACTAATCAATCTTCAGGAAATTTGACTTCTTAGTATTGGGTCAAAAACTCCTTACCCAAACACAGAGACCAGTAAAACGTTATTGCATAAAAATAATTATCAGATTCTAGAATTATGTCACAGTAAACAGGTGTACTTACTTTAAGACAAAATGAAATGTGGGCTGGCAATGCAACCTCAATCTTGACCATAACCCATTTCCCCTAGAATTAAGAACAGAGGCTCTCAACATTGCCTACATCATATAATCCCCAGGAAATGTTTAAAAAAGAGGTGGAACTGTTGAATTATAATGTCTGGAGGGCTAGGTTTTTAAAAAAGCTCACCAGGTGTTTTTTTTTTGCATATGAGGATTAAGAGCTGTAGAGGTAATGTTTTTAAACTGGATCAGTTTCGCACAAATTGCATGGCCCATTTTCTGGTTTTACTGATACTTTCCAAGCTGACTTAACTTTTGCATTTTGGCCTGCTTATGGAATTTTCTCTTGGTCTACAAAGCACAAATAGTGTCAAATGCAGCCTAAGGAAGCCCTTTAATGAATGAAGTTTTTGAAACTGGACTTGAATTCAGGACTTTAAAATTCAGTCTCCTAGGGGGACTCCACTGTGAGTGTTCCTATTGTTCTCTCTCTCTCTCTCTCTCTCTCACACACACACACACACACACACACACACACACACACACACACACAACTTGCCTGTTTTCTCTTTGACTCTGCATACTTGGTGTCACAGGGTCACATCTGGGACTTCATTGTAATTCAAAGTGGGAATAAATACTGCACAGAGGTTTTAGAGTCCCAGAAAATCTCTTACATGTATTTTATTTTCGGTAACTGATGTAATACCAGTAGGGCTGCTGGGAAAGATAGGAGGTAGGGAGAGGGAGAAGGTACTTAAAACTTATTCAATTTCTGTTTTAATACCTATTGATAGACTCAGTCATTTAGAAGCAAATGCTAGGTCTTGCAAATTTCCTCACATTCTTTCTTTCCTTGGAAGGAGACTTACTTGACTTATAAGGAGATGGAGTTGGGCCTTTGGATGGGCAGGCTCTTTTGTGGGTCTTGGTGTCCTCTGGTACATGGTGGTTGGTCTGGCCTACTCATTGTATTGCTGCCCCTGCTCTTATCTTGCAGTTTGCAGGCTTCCATGGGCTGAAGTCCAGAGTCCACACCACTTACATCCTATTGTGAAGATATCATTCATTATACACTATATATATATATCCATGACCTCCATAGGTCGAGGCTCAACTACTGAGCCACCGTGGCCAGGCCATTATACACTTTTCAATCTCAGGGCTTCACTGGTCCACTGAATCTCTCAGTACTTCTCTATCCATTCACTGGGTCATGTGGAACCCCTGGATATGAAGACTGTAGGGAGCCTTGATATTTGTTTCTATCTCATCCATCTTTACACCTCCCTCTGTCTGTGCCATTGTAGTAGTCCTACTTCACACTGGATTTTGGAATAAATCAAATGCCTATATTCCCTTAGAGTCTTAAAACTTCACCCAGGCTATATTGGATGTCACTTGCTCTGATGTTCTCAGGTTCGCTCATACTACCTATTCTCATATTACATTTTAGCCTCGTAAAGACAGTAAAACAAGAACTCGGATTGCTGACCTGCTCTTCGTATGTCTGTCTCTATTTCTTAGATAGGCCAGAATGAGTGGGACTTATACTTCTCTTCTTTTAGAGAGGCCTTCCTATTTTGTCATAAATGTTCTTCCCAGGGACACTGAACCCTGTGGCTTAGCATTAAATGTAGATGAGGTGGAAGGTAAGATAAACTCATCTGATGATAAGAGAACACATTCTTTAAAAATAAATATCTGTCACATGTACCTTCTTAAATTCATATTTCTCACTGAATTCTGCTGGCAAAGACACTTCTCCCTGGACTTTTTAATCCTAACTTTACAGGAACTTCCCACCAATATTGTTTTGTAAATAATTGATTCAGCAAAGATATTGAATGCTTGTTATATATCAAGCATTATTCTTAAAAGAAGATTAAAAGTAAGTTGGTCAAAGAAAGAAGGAGGCATTTTACTTAGAATTAACAACACAAGTGAAGTGACTGCCACTTGAAGAGGTATCCTTGTTCTGCGGGGTTCCTATTCCTCATAGTCTAGATGGCCAAGGAGACATTTTATTTTTTTAAGAGGTGAATGGTCTAAAGAGGTCAATCACAAAGTTTTATAGAAACCCAGATGAAAATGAAGCAGTTTAGAGCTAATGACTTCTTGCCAACTCTTGGATGCTGCATTTATTTCTGCAATAAGCAAGGCAATTGTAGTCAGCATGCAAGTATTCACTCAAGCTTCTCTTCTGTTTCTTAGATGTTATTAAGTTGACAGAATTGTACTCATCATCATTCAGACCTGAAATACTGCATATATCATAATTAATCACTTAATTTTTTAGTGATTTTTTCTGTGAATTGAAATCAGGGCAACTGAATATGAAGACTAGAGTTCTATGGAGAATTTGTCCAATGATATTATATTAAAACTATATTAAGAGCATTATGCCCTGGCTGGGTAGCTCAGTTATCTATCATCCCATCACACCAAGGTTGCAGGTTCGAATTCTGGTCAGGGCACATACAAGAATCAACCAATGAATACATAATTAAGTAGAATAACAAATTGATGCCTCTCTCTCTCCCTTTCTAAAATCAATGAATAAATAAAAATAAAACGAGCATTATGCTACTTAAAATTTTTAAAGTCATTTAGGTATGTGTTATATGTGAGAAAAGATGGGAGAGAGAGTGCTAATCCTTATCTGTGTTTCTTCTCTCCTTTTTCGGCATGCAGATTATATTTTCAGACGTGTCTTCAGAGAAATGTTATGCTCATTGTCTAATATGGTGACTATACAAAGTAAAGTACTTTCTACACAAAATGTGTAATCCCCAGATGTACTTCTTCTCAGTGTTCTTTTAAAAAAATATATATTTTGCCGGGACCGGTTTGGCTCAGTGGATAGAGCATCGGCCTGCGGACTGAAGGGTCCCGGGTTCG